TATTTTAAAAGTCTACTATATCTTGTTTCTACTTCTTAGCTGGGGCCGTGAAGTTAAACCGACAACAAACTGATATGGCTGTTAATTGGGCTGGAGGATTACATCATGCTAAGAAATCAGAAGCATCAGGGTTCTGTTATGTTAATGATATTGTGCTTGCCATTCTTGAATTACTAAAGTAAGTTAATTTATGTTGATACTTTTCCTATGATAAAATGTTTTAATTAAAACACAATAAAAGTCTGGCTTTTTGCAAAACCAAATAAATGGCAGGTTGAAACAGTTAATGATAAGTCTTCTATGAATTCGTTATAAACCAATGAAGAAATGCAGGAAATTTACCCAATCTTTTGATTATTGTAAGCAAGAAATGTATATAAAGGTCCAAAACTCCCATTAAATACCCTTTTTGAAAATATTAGGAGTAGTTTGGCAATTTAGATTTGAGTTAGTTCCAACTAATGAAAAATGACATGACCTTGGAAGTTTACGTTGTGACATTTTGTAAGTTGAAAACTTACAAAACTTTGAAGCCTACATTAAAGGAAATTTGTTTATCTATTGAGTGAGTCTAGCTGACCACCTAGAGTCCGTATCTGAATGGGACTTTGTTCTTTGCCATTGGATATAAAATGATCTCTAAGTTGCTGAAGGAGTTATTTTTAGTTACCCTTGGGTGCAATTTGAGAGAGATAGATAGAGGTAAGGTACTTATGAATTTGGAGATTTACAGTTAGATATTTTTTACTCATCAGTTGTAACACATCTTATATTCTACTTCATGTTGTACTGATTAGTGTTTTTTCAGCTTTGCAGATATTTTTGCTTATAGTTATTCCACGCATACTATCCATAGAGACTAGTTTTTCAGTCACTTAAAACTTAGTATTGATTCCTTAAATAAACAATAACTGAGCAGCATTGGTGTAACACTTTGTTGATGCATCAGGATCCAAAGAAAACCATTTTGAATCTTTGCCTTGTTTTTTAATTGACTGTTGATACTGGTTCCAGTGTCTTCAACTCTTTGAGCAAGTTCTTGCCCACTAAGCTGATAGTCTTAAACAAGTTTAATTTCTCTGGATACATTTTTTCATGTGGTGCAATCAAGCATGTTTAATTAATTGACTTGGTAAACAGCTTTCCTTGCTTCTCTAGCATGAGAGCCATTCACTTCCATTACAGCTTCACTTCTATTTTTTAAATTTTGTGAAGAAATTCTGCGGTAATGAGATACACCCTTTTAAATTTTCTAAATATTGCTTTTTCGTGTGTCGAGAATATTCTTATATTGAGTGCTTAGTCTGTCAATGTCAACTTACATTGTATTCTTTTAGCACAGCTATGGTACCATTGCATAATAAACACAATGCTTTGCCATCTAATTCAATAACAAAATAATACTTTACTGTACTTCAAAAGGATATTATTTGAAGTCCACTTTTCCCTTTTCTTGTTTTGATGTGGGTATGTGCTGGTTTTCACTGTGTCACTGCGATTTGTAGTGCTGTAAGCACCAGTTTGAAGTGATGGAAATACCACATGTGTTCTCTATCACAATTATTCATCTCTGCAGTTCAAAAGAAGTCAGAGACACAAGTAAACAAATGCCTATGTTTCAATAAAATTTTTTATGGACACTGAAATTTAAATTTTATATAATTCTCACTTGTCAGAAAATACTTTTGATTTAATTGTATTTTTCAGCCATTTAAAAAAGTAACAACTATTAGCTATAAAAAAGAGGCATTTGGCTTATGGGCTATAGCTTGCCAATTCAGGATAGTAAAGTACATATTACAAAATATGTGTTTTTAAAATATGTCAAGGAATAAGTCTGATAATGTTGAGAACTAAGGATCTGAATAATCTTGAATCCAAAGGAAAAGGAAAGAAGGTTTTAACTTTGGACCACAGCAGCAACATCCACAGCGGTGTTGACCCAAGGGGTTAACTGCACAAAACCATGAGGGGAAGTTCTTTGTCTCTATTCTTGGAAGAAGCAAAAC